CAAAATTGATTTACTCTCTATTTAAAATAGAGAGAGAGTCTTACTCACTTTATATTTTATTTTTAATGAATAAAAAACTGGTGCATATACATTTTTCATTAAATACTATTAATAATAAGACTATTTTTCTACTAGAATAAAAAATTCATTGGAGTTATCTATTTTACTCTCTATTTTAAAATTTTATTAAATATGCTCTCTGTTTTTTTTTTTTTAAAAAAAATCTCTTTAAAATAAATGATATTATTAGAGATGATGTTAGCAGATGGGTGCTTTTCTTTATAAATCTGCATGTCCTTGTCCCCATGTTCGTAACTAAAGGTGACTTTATTGCGTTAATCGTCCCACTAACCCTCGAATATTTGCTGAAATCATATGGTTCCTTTCCATCTTTCTTAATAAAATAATCACAATGACCTCAATCGTCGTAAAAGGCATTGATAGTCCCTGAGTTTTGATAAAACCCAACGAAGATATCCTTTATATTTCCAAAAATAATGCAAAGGCCCTCACATTTCTAGCTGACATCCGCACAAAAATATGTTTAAATTCATTGCTAAATTTTATATTATATTGCGAAATATTAGAGGATGTGAATTTAATTTTTCCAAGATTAATATGGTGAAAAACAACAAAATCAAAGGAAAAGCAAGAAGAATATGCCAATATGAAATTGGCTGCCACATAGTAATTATTTATTATTTAACTATAAATATTTAAATTTACAATCCCTTTAACAATATAAACGGTAATTTAATATCGTATTAGAGAAAGAGATCTTATGTTCGATCTTAATTATTAAAAATAATTATCTATTAAACTCAAAATATAACTCTAACATGAAGGAACGTATTAAAATATAAATAATTAAGTTAAATATGTGATAATAATCCGGGGTGTTGTAATTTTTAGAGTAGATAATGGTAAATTTACGAACTAATATGTGCAGCAGTCTTGTCGTCAGATCGTTTAACGAGTAATAATACGTTGAATAAGTCATATCTAAGATGATTTGGCATGTTTCTTTTGTATTCGTGAGATTCTTTAATTACAGTCAAGGCAAAGGATAGCTTCACTTTCGTTGGCTCAGAACCAAGTTCCAGTACTGTAAATTCTTTAAGTGACTGTCTTCTATAAGCTACCGTGCGCTGATACTGTTCTGACTTTTTATTCTATGGGTGTCAGGTCTTGTTTTATCCCAGGTGTTGCTCGTTAAAGTGCGTATAAATTGACTCGATCATAATTAATACAAAAAAAAAAAAAGTGTTAGGACTTGCTTTCAAAAGTTTTAACTTTTAATCAATAAGGATTGTTTAGTGGACTGTTGAGAGTAGTAAAAAACATCTAGATGGCACTTTATGATTGGCCAATTCATGATTAAAAAGAAGGATTAGATTTGGTGGATCTGCCTGAACAAGATATTAGGCATTTAAAAACAATCGCACTACTAGCATTGTATAGATCCCATATTAGGATAATTTACCCCAAAATCTGTAAAAAAAAAAAAAGTTAAATAATGCTGTTTGGATTGTATTGATAATAAACCCAAATTAATTATAGAATCCAAATTAATTAATTAATAATAATAAATTAATTAGCATTGTATTGATAATAAATCCAAATTAATAATAGGGTCGGACGTCAATCTCACGATAGAGAATGATTAAATCAACAAACAAAAGCAGTTAGATCCATGTAAAATTGCTGTGGCAGAAATCTATAATCAACAACCCACCATAGCCCATTAACTTCAAACTTTTTTGTATTTTTTGCTTTTGTTTTTAAAACAAGCAGTCGAAATCTGTTTTTCACTTTTATAATGTTTGCCTTGGTGGTTAACGCTTTTTTGTTCCTTCTCCATGACTTGCTGGTAACAGGTAAGCACTTTCTTCTTTATTAATTACCAAAAATTTGCAGGAATATACTTCCAATATTGTTCGAGTCATGCCCCTGTTTGGGAAATAGTTGGAGAGAGAGAGACTAAGACTCTACCAATCAGTTGGATGTAAGGTGGCTCGTTAACTAGTTTTAATTCGTTCCCACCACCCACATGAGACCTGGCTGCTTTCAGGTTTCAGCTATAAACAAAGAGATGAGAAGTTGATTGGCGTTTCACCTTTTGTAAGGCCATAACATGATAACATGCACGAAGTTCAGAACCTTGAGAGAGAGAGAGAGAATCTTTTGGGAATAAATATTAGTTGTTTACGTCACGTCGGTATTGTTACATGGTATAATTATTTAATAATAAACAAACAAGTGATTAAGTGAACCCTATTTTTATATATATATATATATATGTAATGTTTACTTTCTTACGTGAATTACCAATTATTATTAAACGATTACACCACGTGACAATATTAACGTTTTTTTCATCCACTAAAAATCAGTTTGTGCGCTTCTAAATTCCTCTATTCCCTTGACCCCGGAGAACCCACCAGAGAGAGAGAGAGAGAGAGAGATTAAAGGATGAAACTGAAAAAGAAGCATGGAGCATCGATCCTTTAATCCATGTTCTGCGATTAGATAAGTTTAGATGTCAGCCTCATGCTAACCATTTGTCATTAGACATAGTCAAGTTTTGCTTTGTTTTCATCTTATATAATTAACTAGCTAGGTTCCTTTAGCATTGCTTCCTTTATATATATGATGATTGTAGTAAGCTATAGATTCCCTACTCCAAAATTAAATTTAAGAGCCGGCGATGAGTTGTTTGCACAGAAATTCTCTTCCATTTTCCAAATTTTTAATCACCCATCACCCAAACTTTTGTCTACGCTTGTAGCTTTCCATTGTATAAAAAATTGTCTGTGAAAGGACTTGAAATGTATCTTTTTTGGAATGCTAATTAATTCGCTTTTTTTTTTTTTTTTTTTCAAAAAACTTTTCTACAATCAAATTACTCTGAAAATAATGGTAAAAAAAACTTGGCAATTATATAGTGAGCAAACTTTGATTTTGACATAATGCAAGTAGAACCAAAACTGTTATTGTCATATCATTTTATCTCTATTTTTTATTCTTTTTTGTAATCCGTCGTTAGACCATTAAATTACGGGTTTGAACCTCACCAACCATCTCTCCCGTGAAAATATTTTCTTTTTCTTCCCCTAACTTTAAACAAATTAAACCGGGCTGACAGTGAAGGTATGTTAAAGATGCCAAGATTTGATAGAGGAATACAAATCCCACACAGACACATTGGGTTGTTCCACCACTAGTCCGACATACTATACCAGTACTAGTTATATAATTGGAAGTTTCTTGCCGCTGTCAAGTGATCGATAATACGCCTTGTTCAAAAAAAAAAGTGATTTCTGTCACATTAAATTAATTAGTACCCAGTTTCAGGGACGGCAAAAAATCCCACACGTAATGATATTGAGGATTTTTTATTTTAAAATAAAGAATATCAATACATCATACCATTCTACTTAAAAACTTAGTGAGTAAAGTTTGATTAGCTCAGAAGAAACTACTAAGAAAAACAAGGGTGCAGGGTGGGTGGGGGTTGTGTTTTATAGGGGGCGTTGGATTGAGATTTACGTTAACATATATTTTTAAAGTAATAAATTCACTTATATACTAAATATAAGTGCATTTTTTATTAATACATGAAGGGTGTTATACCGGGATGAACAAGTAGCCATCCGAATGGGGCTTGTCACATCCGGCTTGGTCTACACTCTAGCCCATGGAAGTCAAGGATCGCTCAGCTTGGGACATACGCCAACCAGTCCCATCAAGTTCGGCTATAAGCACCTATTCGAGAGTTTTGAGCTCAACAACAAACAGATTTGAGAAAATACCAATCGCGCGCACGTGAACAAGTGATAAAGGGGTAATACTTGACAACCCTAACGAATAGATATTCACCAGTAGTGGAGATATCTCATACATTCCGTTCTAGGGATAATGAGCACAGAAGACATCAGGTTGAAAAGTTCAACTACAGAACAAATGAGGAGGGCATAATCGAATCAATCAAAAAAAAGAAACACTGTGGAAACCCTAATAAAAAGATGTCTAAATAGACAACAATGATATTGTGTAAGGATGAGATATTGAAAATAGAGAAAAGAATAGAATAGAGAAAGAATACCATAGACAACCTAGGAAAACACCTTGTAAAAGGCTCTCAACCAAGCCTTTTGTAACTACTATTTTTTTCGCCAAGCAATATAGTTTCCACAGAGTAAGAATCTCTTTTGTAGTGAACGTAGTCTTAATCTTTCACCTAAGATGAACCACTCATACTTCTGTCTTTACTACAACTTTAACTCTACACGCACTCCTTGTCACAAACACACACTGAAACCCTAAAGGGCCTCGTCTTATTCTGTTTTGTAGTTGGGTAGGAAGATTATGAACACCATCAACTCATATCTTATATGTTTATCAATTCGTATCTAACGAATCATATCATATCAAATTTATATCGTATATGAACCTGATATAACCAATATATAAATGATTTGCATCGTTTACTTTTTTTAATTGATTTTACCTATATTTAATTTATTTATTAATTGTATTGTGTAAAATCTACTCATTTGTAAAATGGATGACTTAAACAACATCCGAACCTTGAAATTGTATATTGCGTTCATGTTGTGATACCGCGTGATGTTATATTTTTATACTCTTAATCGACACCCATTTTCATCGGCGCGCCAAGCCGAAGTTAGCCACCAAAGTGGCTCCGCGTAAGCACCTTCCCAAGCTAATTTGGCTCTCCATATGAACACCCACGGGGCCGTGACACGTGTGCACAGGTGGGTCCCATCTGTTTTGTTTCTTCAGCACTAAGCTTCAAAAATCAAGGGACCCATCAGCCTATGTCACATCCATCTACTCCATAACAAAGCCAATACTACCCCCATCAGTGCCAACCTGACTCAAAAGCTATGCCTCAAATTACCAAAATACCCCTGATTGGGCCACCACCTTAGCTTTCCGCTCGTCCTTAAATACGGCTCCCCTACCCTTCCTTTCTTCCCTTTCCCCCTCCAACCTTCCTCCCCTATTTCCGAGCAGTTTTCCGGCCATGATGTCCACTTTTCCTGCCATGCTGCCCTCCGATGGCTTGTTCACAATCCCATTTCCGCCTTTCGAAAGTGGATTCACTCCATGGGATTGCGAAGAACCCTCTTTCGACTTTTTACAACAACAAGAACCAGCTGTTTTCCCAAATCAAAAACAAGAACCGGTAATATCCAATTCCGGTTCAGACAACTCAAACCCATCTCCTCTTAGTCCAAATTATGATTCATATGAACCCAACAGGAATAAAGAAAAGTCAAGCTCCGGTTCGGATGAACCTAACCCGGCGGTCCCTGTAATTGACGAGCGAAAACGGAGACGGATGATATCGAACCGAGAATCAGCGAGGCGGTCCCGCATGAGGAAACAAAAGCACCTGGAGAACTTGCGGACCCAAGTGAACCGGCATAAGATTGGGAACCGGGAACTTATGAACCGGGTGCGTTTGATTACGCATCATTGCCAACTCGTACAAAACGAAAACGTCCGGCTCCGGTCCGAGGCGGTTATGCTCCGGCAGAAACTGTGGGACATGCGTCAAGTCTTGCTTGTTCGGCAGCTTCAGCAGCAGTTATCTTCCTCTGCATGGCCATGCAATAATAGCTTCACGCCCATCAATGAACAAACCCCACAATCATTAATTACATAACTCGATCACAATAAGCAGCTCATTAAGCGTTATAATATCCATGAACCAAAGAGAACTCTCTCTCTCTCTCTCTCTCTCTCTCTCTCTCTCTGTGTAAATAAAAAAGCTGCTAGAGGAAAGGAAGTAGGGGTATCAGGTGATTTTTGGTAAACGGTATGTTTTGGGAAATAGTGGTTTTCGGGAAAACCAGACATATGATTCTGTAAAGCTTCACTCGATGTTTGGTTTTATTATAAGATTAATTAAAAGCTTTTGCTTTAGTATCGTTGTTTGGCAACTTTTTAAAGTCTTAATAATGTCTTATTCGAAATCTGATTCACAAACACACGTTTCTTACTCTAATTCGCAGAATGAATTGAATTCCCAACCACAGATAGTGCAGGCATGAACGACTTAGTGATAATAAAACTTGGTGGGTCGGAGATATTAATTGTATCATTTGATGATTAGTCCAAAATGAGCATGATTAGTCCGAATTGTCCTTCAGTGTGTATTGCAATTGTGACATGAATAAGTCAGATTAACGAGGGATAGTGTTGTCTTCCAATAATTCAGCTGCCCACGTTGAAATGCCAACATAATGTCAATTCAATATTGATGTGTAGAGTGGATATCGACAAGTAACCATGCAAAGGTATATTCTAATAATTAAACCGCGCATGCCATTTTCTATTAGTAACCTAATAATTATTAACAAAAGGTTGGTGGTTTGTCCAATTAGCCCTAGGAGGTTTAGGGGCTAATTGTATAGCCCATTTTTGGGAGTTTTATTGGTAGTGCTCTTATTTCGAATTCTTCATCGTGTTTCTCTAAATGTGTTGTCGTCTATCATAGATAAATTTTTCTTCGTAATAATCGATTATTAATCATAGGCAAGACCGTATGTATTGTAATAAAAAAAAATTATCTATAATAGGCGACGTAAATGACATAATATTCACATCAGATATCCTTTCTCCTCCTCCTCTAAAAAAAAGAGAGAGAGAATTGAAAGAAAGTAGAAAATTAGTGCAAGGTGCTTGGGCAAAGAATCAATCTCCAACAGACGAATATTGTTGTTTCTAAACACAAGCAATTCCTTTTTTTTCTTTAGTAAACTTGACTGGTTTTGGATTAAGTACAAAGAATATTCGAGTTTTAGAATATAATAAGAACAACAATAATAAAGAGATGGAGAACTTTATACTTGAAATATGTGGACATATTGTGACCTAAGACGTAATCTAATCAAGCCACAAAAAATTGATATATGCATGTGCGTCACCCCAATTTCATTACCTTTTTAATTAAAGTATCATTAATCAAATGGTAAACAACCTATATTAATTTTAGTGCTCAAGTAAAGTAGCTTTTTTTGTTTTTTTTTTAATTTAATGGCCAGGGGTGTCCAGTATATCTTACGCGCACCTCGACTAATTCCTCTCAGTCCAATCAAAGGCAGATCATTCACACTGGGATTAGAGTATTCATGAAGGATAAATTCTTATGTTTTGATCTCAATGGATTACTAAGATTCAAACTAAACACATATAAATTTGTAACTTGTCAATGTTATCATTTGAGTTACCCTTAGAGTTAAGTAGCTATTTGTGTCAAGGTGCAATGGACATTCCCCACATCTTAGTTTAACTTTAATGTGGTTATAGTTTTCTTACAAGTGTAAAAAAGAAAACAGCAACGGGCTTAGCCCCAAGCTAATCACATTTTAACAAGTAGATCAAAGAATTTTAGGCTTTTGAGATATATGTAAGGCAAAGGTGAGACCTTTTCAAATCTAAGACGTAAATTGAATTCTCTCATTTATTTAACTCTCATTATTTTGAGATATGTGTAAGCCAAAGGTGAGACCTTGTCAAATCTAAGACGTAAATTGGATTCTCCCATTTATTTAATTGTCAATATTTTTCACTTAAGATTAGATCAAATTTATCGCTCTAACTAAAAAAATAATAAAAAAAGGGCACCGATCTCGACAGGTTGATGGTAAATGGTCCCATATGCAAAAGTTCTGTAAGATCGATCATATCAAAGCCTAATTGCATGATGCAAAATGTGCCAGTTGGGTATTGGATGGTCTGTTTTCTTTATTGGGTAGGTATGGATTAGAACCCAGACATCTCTTTGTTGGCCATTTGATTAAGACCTCATGTGGAATTGTCTCAAAAAGATTGTTAAGTGCATCAAGGTATTGGGACATTGTCTCTTCCTTTCTTCAAATCTAAGTTATAAAGACCTAAGATTTAGGACCATAAGAGTACCAAAGATGCCCAAATATAAAAGACGTATAGTCACAAAAACTAGTGGTGCATGTGTCCAAGACCTCGAAGAAGAACCGATCCAACATGTCATTCATTCAACATTTGTTTACCACAAAATCATTAGTTTGGTGAGATTTTGATATATTGTTGGATTTCTAATCAACATAAAATATAATAAATTTCAATCACAAAATATTGTATGTGTGTGTGTGCATAATAATAAAACTAGAGTCTGTTCATGTGGTCTTTTCAAATATCTTTTCAACTTCATTGTATTCTTTTCAACTTCATTGTATTATTATTAAGGGGTCCATAACCCATGTTCATCTATATACCATTTCAAAGATTTTAGTTTAATCATCTTTCTTCTAGTCAATGCTAGATTCATTGTGGCAGAGGATATGATTATAATGACACAGAAAATTACTTAACTTCTTCAGCTAACCAAATAAAAAGGAGAAGTGAACAAACCACATGATTACATCTTTGTACTTCATTGATTTAATAGACCTTGCTGTATCTCCTCCATCTAGCTAGTCTCGTGATAATTACGTGCCCTTAAAATACACCGATAGTTCCAAGAGTAGAGTAACTTTGTTGCTTTAAGCCTTTAACTTTGAAGACCAAACCGCACAAAAGAAACATATTAGTGACTATGACATGATTACTTTGAAGCATCTACTTCTAATATAATATAAAAAAGAAAGAAAGAAAGAAATGTTTTATGTCACCTTCGTAGATAGATTGTTACGTATATACTTGGCAAACTAAAAACATTTCTTGATTTGAAGTGATGGCTGAAATCACTTGGAATGCTTTGCAGTGAATTAAATTGGCTTTTTCTTGACTTTAAAAGTTTTGTGTGTGTGTGTGTGTGTGTTTTATCTCTGGAATCTACTAAAACCTTCACTTCAAAAGGCAATTCTATACAGAACTTATTTAGTAATTTTATCTACTGATTTTATCATTATCTGTCATTAAATTGACAATGAGTCCGACTATTAATTGAGACCTATTATTATTTCAATAACTATGATTCATCATGTCACTAAATTAGGTACAAAAAGTATTAGCCAACTTCAAATGCAATCTTACACTTGAGTCCAAAATTAATAGGAGCATCCTATGTACTTCCGAAAGTGATGAGCATATCTATATACCAAACCCCCACTAAAAGTCACAAGAAGAATCAAAAATAATAAACCTACTCAAACTCAATAAAAACTGACAAACAAAACTTCTTTACAGATTAGTCTTTCTTAAAGGGTTTAACATAAGCCAGCTTCATTTCCACTTGCTTTCCTGTAACCGTCAGACATAATCAAGCTAGGTTATTTTACTTTCTTAGTTTATAGATTGAAGATCATTTTGAAAGCATCTTTATGTTCTTGTCGGCACGTTCATCCACAGTAAAAGTCAAAGTATTGTTGTTTTCAATCATCTTCATTCTCGACTCAGTATCAAAGCGGGGATGTTGGAGAATCTCGTAATACTCAAGCTTGTCCATCGCTGGGACATTGATGATCAGGGGCGGAGCCACCCTTGGACCACGCCCTTTAAATTTTATTTATTTTTTAATATTAGATATATATATTTTTAAAATAAAATTTAGATATATTTAATTGTGTTCACCCTCAATTTTTTTTTTACATTAAACATATATTTTTTACAATAAAATTTAGACATATTTAATTGTGTTCACCTTATTATTGTGTTATTGTGATATCGATTAAGATAGTCAGGTACTTAAATAATAATTAATTTTTAAATAATGTTATTGGAACTAATACATTATGATATTAATTCTAATAATGAGTCCCCTATATTTAATAACCTCTATTATCTATCCAATGGTCAAAAATCATTGGGTTCCTACCAATTAAATTTTGATTTTTTTGGGGTCAAGATATAAAATTAAATTTTAAATTATGTGCAATTACTATTATTCTTAAATTTTTAGACACAGACATGTCCGAATAATTTTTAGACATATCGCGGTCATTTTTCTAAATTATGAGATTATTTTTGTTATTGTATAAAAATGAGCGCCATCATGTAATAAATTACAGGGGAATAAATGAAAGGCTGATATTACTATTTTGTATAGAAAAAAAAGTATTTATTGATATCATTGATTTATAATACTTTTAAATGATAAACAATAATCAAATTCAATTGTAAAATGATAATAATTAGTCTCATACGAAATTCTAATTAATTTACTTTCATTTTTTGTTTGTTCATTCTATGTAAATCGATTGTTTTTTAACCTTTTATGTTTAATGATTTTTTACACATAATTATAGTAATTATGAATTTTTGAACATCTGTGGTCGATTGAAAAAAAAATGAAAAATATTATTTAGATCTAATTTGATTGAAAGTAGATTTCATCTAACATTGAAATTTACAACTAAAACAACAATTACATTAAATTAAGTCTATAACATTGATAAAAAAAATTAAAATTTATTATTGTGCCCACCTTAAGAGGATATTGGGATCTTTCTTTCTTTAATTTCTTAGGCAGGTAGTATGTAACTGTTGTTTGAATCTTCGTAGTCAGGCATATATTTTACGAAATTTATTTATATATTTTCCTTCGTTTTATTTTTTAGCAATAGATATAAAAATTATAAATATAAATATCAATATTATTTTAAATTATTGATATAATTATTGATACATTCTGGCTAGCAACGGCTCAAATGGACGGATAGCTCTCTATTAGCTAGCAATGCCAACTATTCGTCTTTAGTTAGAAATAGACATAAGGGGGGTGTCGTTTGCCCCACCACGCTTGAGGAAAATTCAATAAAAAACATGGATGAAGAAAAAGTACATAAAGGGTTAGAAAGAAAAACTTGGTTACAGAACCGAAGGTTAGGCTGGTTGATAGGAAGCCAGAGAGAAGGAACAAAGAAAGGGTGCTCCTCCGGCAATGAATACTGGCATAGTGAAATTAATTAAATGTCCGGTATAATTTACTAGTACAATATCATGTATGTTTCTTCGTAGGTCATGTTAATTGAAGGTGTGTGACAAACTATCTGAGCGAAGAATATATTTATAATTTCAAGGAAAGATATTACTGATGACCGGATTACTGAAATTCGAACCTTATAACTATTGATAAGAGATAAAAGATACTTACCATTGGACCAATCCTCTTTTGCACTTGAAATCCATAATTTCAAGGTGTGAAATAAACCATGCAGGGATTGAAGAATCTGATAATAGTCAAGGTTGTCCATCACAGGGACAGTGATGAGAGTAGATTGGGATCTTCTTTCTTTAATTTCTTAGGTTGGTGGAATGTAACTTCTGTTTGAATCTTCTTGGCTTTTTTTTCCTTCGTGTGGATGAGCCCCATTTCAATCAAGAGATCAATTTTCAATGTCCAGTCAAGATTATCCAACTAAGAGATCAAGGGGTTTATCTTTGTGAAAAGACGACTATTAATTGCTCTTTTCCCTCTCTTTAGGAGTTTTATTAATTTTATCCTCTTTTTTCGTACTTACTTTGCCCCTCTGTTGTATTTAAATTAGATTATGCCATAGATATATTATTGGAAAAAAAAATTTAAAAAAAAAACAGATACAAACATCTTGTCTTTTCAGTGCTAAGTCCCAGAATTCAAACTTGACTGAGTTCCCTAAGGGTTGCATTCAATATAATACACTATTTTTTCCAAGGGAAAAGTATATCTAAATTTTTTAGGGTTCATTTAATTACTTAAACTCTATGCAATTTAAAATATTATACTACATAAAACTCTCTGCATGTAACACATAAACTCTTGTCATTAATGTGCGCTGGTAAATTATATTTTGACCCCTAAAATTTCAAGCGTGCAATACTTAGACACTTCAAATTTAAAATATTATATTTAAACCAAAAATACTCTAATTAAAAATAGAATATTAACTATTTTAAATTTTACAACCAAAATTTATATTATATTATGTCATTTATTAAAATAAAATCGTAGACCGGAGAGTAGTTTCAGGAGTCAACTCTTTGTGGAGTTAACTTTAGCTTATCCATGTTCCATAATATCATTCATTGACATAAAAATAAAATAAAATCTAAATTTTTTTAGGAAAAATTATAATAAGTATAAAATATATCAAAAAATACAATTCAATACTCAGTTGCATATAATTATACTGTCTATTGGAATAAAACTAAAAATCAAATAACAGGTCAAATTGTAGTGAACGCAATATCTTCCATATTTAATTGGGATAATTTGATCTTTTAATGGATTTCATTAGTTCCGTAACTAATAAGGGGTTTAAGTATAATATTTTAACTTGAAAGGTTTAAGTGTTACACACCTACAAACTTTAAGAGGTCTGAATATAATTTAGTAATAGACATATTAACCGATATTTACTGTAGGAGTTCACACATACAAATATTAAGGGATTTTTTGTATAAGTCAAGGAATCTAATTGATTAAGTGACGAATCTCAGGAAGTTTGGGTGTAATTTTCTCTTTTTCAATTGTAAGTTTTTAATTACAGAATTTGGAAGCGGATACAAAATTTTGAACTTAATTGAGCTAATTACGTTGGGCCAGATTCTCCAGATCCAACTTCAGTAGTTGGGCCAGACCTCAGGTCCATGCCAAGCCCAGAAAGGATTATGCTTACATCAGAGACGCATAGAAACATTTTGGCACTGGCTCCCAATTTTTTGATATTAAAAAAAAGGAATTGTGATGAATATTTTCTCCTAAATTAGAGGGAAAAATAAATAAATAAGGCCGGTGCCCGGAGACGAAGAAACTGGATTTGGGGCAACATTAGGCCTACAAAGCTGGACTTTAGGCCCAACTCGTGAAACTTAATAGTAGAGGATACGATCGGCGTTTCACGAAACTCTTTCGTTTTTGTGCATCACCGTCTGCTAGGGTTAGGGTTAGGTTTTTTGGTAGTGTATAAAACCCGTAAACACCCTTTCTTCCTCAAAGCCTCCGCTGTTATCTAAAAATCAATGAATCATCGTTAAGGAATTTCGATGGCTTTGAACTTTTCGCCAATTTTTGAGTTCGTCTTTCATTATCTGGTTCTCTGGTATATATATATATATATATACAATACTAATCTGATCTATTTTTTGATTGATTTCTTAGTTCATATGTTTTTTTATTAGAAGAATTTAGAGGCGATGAAGACAGAAATCATTTCTCGAATCTGATTTTGTATTCATTTTTGGGTGTAATTTCACTTGCACCCAATTCCAACATGATGACCGCATTTGTGCGTGTCTGAGCCTCTTTACAATATGTACTTAAATTAACTAATTGTTGTTTTTGATTGATTATGAAAGGAGAGAATTTGGGAGGGCGAGTTGCGAATGCGATGATAAGAAGTAAAATTCCTCGTTCTGAATGCTAAAATGGCATGAAAGACTCTTGTTTTACACCCATAGAATCTGAGCATTCCTCCCACTGTTTTCTACCCTATTTATCAATACAATATTCTGCCCTAATTTAGTTTTCTTTTTTTTTTTGAAAATTAGTAGTCCCTAATTTTTTATTTCTATTTTCTGAATTTTTGTTCAAATTTCAGGCTTTGTTCTTGATAGTTCTATGTGAAGAGATTGGGTTTCGATTGAATTTTGAATGATTTGATTTGAATCTAATTTTAAAAGTTCGATTCGATAAATCCATGGTTTATTTTTGTGGTCTATACCCAAATTTGTTAACAATCCGAAATTCAATCTAAAAGTTCGATCCGATCCAAGTAATCTAATTAATTAAATTTTAGTAAATTATACCTAAATTTGAATTAAATTTCTTTAAAGAATCATTTAATTCATTTAATATTTTATAAAAAAAAATATGTAAATAATTTGGATTGAATTATAATCAGATTGGATATCGATATATTTAAATTCGAATTTGTAAAATATAAGATATTCGATTAGGATTCAGATTCAGATTAGATTTAGAATCCAATCCATTATAAAAATATATAAATAATTCGAATCAAATATAAATATATCTCAATTCAAATTCGTGAAATATAAGATACCTGAATAGAATTCAAATTCGAATTAGATAGAGTGGATTTAAAATCCGATTGTCTAGTCTCGGCTAGTGCAATTTTTTCTTTTTTTAACAAAAACTGGATTTCAAATAAATATTTTGCAGAAACTATTGTTGTTAAATCTTTTGAATCAACTTTGGTAAATTGTCACTTCAAATGTGATTTTGTGCACTTCTACCGTGTTTTCTGAGAAGACCGAACGGAGGAGGAACAAGTGTTAGCAAAAGATTGAAATGGGGTGGCACTACTTGCCCCAACATTTCAACAACAATGATCATCACCAATGTAAATTGTTACTTCGAATGTACCATGAATGAAGCCAAACTTGGAAGAATTGAACACATTCAGGTTAAGGGTTACACCCAATATTTTTTCTATGTTAAGGCAATACCGAATGTAGAATAATTTGCAGTAAATAACATCAGACAGCAACACACCCGAGATTTAGGTTGAATCCCTCCTTTGAGAACATTTGCAAACCATTGTAAAGAGACAGAAAAGAAGAAATTACAGATCCATTGAGTTACTTCAAACCTAAAAAACTTCCTCAAGCTACTCTAGGACTTGGCTTGCTCTTCTTTCAAGTTCTTCAATTCTTCCATGATCGCATCATACGATTACAAAGATGGAATAGATGAGGAACTTCCGATAGTTGAACCAAGCACAGCATCACAAAGGCTAGCAGCAGCCTCAAGGGCCTACTTGTTAGTCACCTTCTGCAAGGCACCAGTGGGTGAAGATCCCAACTGAGGGTTACCATCCCAAACTTCAGATACGAGGTTCAGAGCCGACGTGTTCTTGTTGGCTCCCAGAGTGCTAGAGGTTCCATTCAAGACCTCTCCTAATGGACCCCCTAATGAAGAGATAGGTATCCAATTTGTTTGCTTTTCATCTGGTTCTCTAGGATTATTACTCACCCCCAAACCCATATGGATTGAGTCAAAATCACGAGAAAGTCTTAATGGTGAAAGGGTGACTTTGTCCTGTGGAGGAGAGTTTGATGATGACGAGAAACCAGAGGAAGCCATAGGGATAGGGGTCGACATTGATAGTTGGGTCCAGTCTGATTTCAGTTGTTCAATCCAGGCAACAGAGGCACGATCAGAATGGTCCTTCGGCCAATTGCCAAAAAAATGACCAAGTGGATGCTGGTCATGCTTTGCCCTGTCACTGAAATCCAGCAAAGAATTAGTTTCAAGAACTCATGTAGGAACTTTTTGGTGTAAGAATTTACAAATCAGAGGAGGCCATTCCAAACTTGAAGATTCTTCTAGTGGGACAAGCATTTGGTTATTACCATTACATTTAAGAAAACAGGGGAAATGAAATAAAAAATAGATAAGGACGGGTGAAGAAATCAAAAACTACAAGTATCAATTAAGAAAATAAATGAAGAACCATGCATTTGTTAGAATAAAGATCTTAATCTATAGCAACTGGACACGGGACTCATGATGAATCTCAACTTTTATTACCAAGACTTGTCACTTTCAATGAAGTAAAGATGGAATAATGGGGTCCACCAAAAAGTAACAAAGTAGGAAGACATATTAGACAGATGCAAACTGTTTCATATCAATATCAGTTTTATAAAACCTAAAATGAATTGTAAGAAGTAGACAATTAAAGGAGGATCATGCAGACAATGTATTTTTTTTTACCTGCTAACGAGAGTGTTTGTTGAAGGGTTAGCAGATCTAGGCAGTAAGCTGTTGAACTGGTGCTGCATGGCTCCAAGGTTGTAGGATGCACCACCACTGGATATTACCGATGCTGATTGGGAGGAAGCAATCGGCACCACTTTTGTTGTGGTGGATCCAGAGACGATATGGCCAATCTGGCCTTCCACAGGCTTTCTTGAACGATGGCGGCCCCTGCTGATGTGCCTTTCACAATATTTCTGGTCAGGTACAGCATCTCTCGAGCATCGCCACTTCTTTCCATCTGTTCGACGACATCTCCCAGGCTCAGGATCAGCGCTGCCGGACAAACCTAGATGGAAAGATCCCCATCCCACTTCTTGCACCAAAGAGAAAAAGAAAAAACCAAAACATCAAGAACAACACCAGAAAGACAAAGACAAAAAATCAGCTGAGCAGTCCGATAGGATTAGGAATTGGCATTAAACCAGTATACCTTATAGCTAGAAACACTTCAAAATCCCATGTAATTTCATCAGCTACAACAAAACTTTCTATGGAACCATCAAATCCAAAATGGTCTGATTATTACAGATAAGACAACTGCTCAGAAGAGGGGAAATACATAGGAAACAGAGGGCAACAAGATTGTTTATAGCAGTATACAAAAGTCGGTTCTAAAAATCGAATAGCATTATCAGTGACAGTCGGAAGAAAATAGGATTCACATATAGGATGCAAGGGTTCCTTCAATGCCAGAGTTGTTACTTAGTAGCCTGACCAAAGTATGGCAGAAGTCATGTTTTACGCAATTAGGCATGTCTAATTAACAAAATGCAACAATAATATCAGTATATATAAAATCATCTGCGTCATAGTCTGTAGACTTCAAGAAAGATAACAAGCTTACATGAATTGGGGGCATAGGATCCAGAAGACAACCCAGAAAACGCATATGGGTTGAATGATTTCTTGAGGGAGAGGAGCAAGTTGGATGGAACAGGCACATTTGCTACAATGTGTTTATAGATCAAGGCCTGCTGTTCCAGCTCCATCCATTGAGATGGAGTAAATGACCCTCCTCTATACCTAGCAAAAGGCCCATGCATGCCTGCATTTAATCCCCCAGAGCCATACCCTGAAACCAAAAACAAGAAGATAAACAAGTTTCCAAAATGCCAGTAATCCCCAAAAAAAACCAAAAGCAAAAAAATAATAAAAACCCAAAAAAGAGAAGAAATATAACAGGAGACAGTGAGAAAGATGAGAAAAGAAAGGAAATCAATCAAAAGACCATTCCCTTCCCTCTGCTACTCAAGTTGCTGCTCCTTATTTTTTATGCTTCTTTTTGCCTTTTTGTTCAGATTATTTCTGGTGAGATCAAATTTTACCAAAACCAATAAAAAAAAAACCCATGAAATTGTTTTTTTTTTCAAGACTCGATAAACAGAACTCTTATATTAGAGGTCGATTAAAACTTTAAAAGACCTTCCACCCAATACAACTGTCTCTGTACCAGGAAATAAAGTCATATAAAATTGTAATAAACCGATGCCTTGGAAATGAATGTTGCCAAAATCCAAATTTCTCTAACTTCAAGAGATCGCATCCAAACAAACCCTCTTATCTAATTTCCATAATAATTTTTTTTTTTGGGGGAAAAAATAAGTACTTTACACAAAAGATTTGTATACCTGCATTTGTGGTGCAACCAGGTGCTTGTTGATAGCAGGGAAAGACTGGGCTTTGAGTGGGCCTCTCTTCACCAGTAGAAAGAAAGGGAGGTTCTGTCTGGCTGGAAGAAAAGCTAAGCATGGTTTGTCCACCTTCTTCAGAGTACCCAGAATCAGATCTCAGCAGAGGAGTCCCTTGTTGATACAGTATTGTCTTTAGGCCACCAAAATCATCAGTTCTTGCCGATTTGGTGCTCCTCCAATAGTTCTCACCAGACCCGGATCTCGATGGCTCCAGAAACCCAAATGGATTGCTGAGTGGATTGATGCTCTCAGGGTTTGAAACACCCTGATTGAAAGGATATGGGAGACAAAGTCCACTTTGTGCACCAATCGACCCCTCCGTTGTCCCCAACCCAAAACTCATGCCTGTAAGCCCACCAATCTATTAGACCTCCAACGAGCATGAGTTCGAGAGAGAGAGAGAGAGAGTATAATGAGATGATCTAAAAGCAGCGAAGCTGAGAAGAACAAATATTAATGAGAGAGAGTTGTAGTCATGAAACTAAATACTAGTAATAGTACCGAAGACTATCTCTACTTCTCGGACATATATCAGCCAACTTTTATCTACTTTGTTTCTCTAAAATTGCATTTTGCATCCTTCAACATTTAAATTTTTTTATTTTATACCTTTAAAGATTTGATTTCTCACCTTATATTTTTAATGTATTCAGTATGTTGTAACATGATTCTACCATTAACTTCCGCTATTCATTATGTCAACATCAATAAGATGATTTTTAATAAAATGAATAATAGAAGCTAACTATAATATCACATTATAATATTTTAAAATTTTAATTTTTTATTGTATAAAATGAAAATTTTTAAATTTTTCAATATAAAAAATGTAATCCTCCCAAAGAGAAATTTTAAATATTAGCTCAAATAACAAGGATATTTAAATTTAGTATAGTAATACTCAATCTACTACAGTTGATAAATAAAATTTCAAATAGAAAAGGGTGTCCTGAATTTTTAAACTAGAAGGGGTCCTTGAATTTTTAAATAAAATTCCAACCCCTCGTAGTGTTGCTTACTTGCTTCACTATCTAATCATCTCCTCTCTCTCTTTTTTGTTTTTTTTTCAACGGTCAACGAGGTTCGGGTCAAATTATGTGTATTTTAATTAATCTTTTGTTCGATTTGGTCAAAAATTGATCATTTACACTGGAATTAGAATATTTGTAAGGACTAAATTTCTCATAATATAATTCCAAAAAATTATTAAGATTTACACTCAAGAACGTCTTCCATGTTTACTATTTAGAATTATCCTTGAAATATTGTTGATCTAATATTCAAATAATTACTATTGGTGTTAACACTTAATCATTGTCAATTGAGATGAATTACCTCATCGTCCCTCCAATGCTGCATTAATCGTCTGATGAAATTGTTTGAAGATGGGGACAAACAAAAAAAATGGGCGTACCTAGTATATAAGGTCCCTGCCTTGATGGGTTGAACAAATGAGTCATAGATTTCTTTGTTGGGGAGAAACTTGAGGCACCAACAGAATATTTTGGGAACTTTAGTCTTGATGTAGAACACATGCGTGCTCTTGTTAAGAGGCACTCTTTTTTCCCATTCCTTCTTATTTGCTTCACTTTTATTGGCAGAGCTAGGCAAAGGGGGATACCCCTCCCCCAACTCCAATGAAGGCAGGATTCGATCCTAGAGACCCAATTACCTGTTTCTTCCATTGTGGTCGTTATCGTCATCGTTCTCCTCTTGTTTTTTGTACTTGTCATTTTCTCATATTACTTTCTATTCTTCGTAGAATCTTCGTCATTTCTTACACCACACATTTTATTTAGTATAGTGTATCTCATCTAAACCTATTATATATTTTTTTCTTGCTTCTAACAACAATAGCAATTATTCCTATTTATAGCTGACGACAATCATCTGTTTCAATTGAAAATACCAATTTAACCATCCTTAGTCATCGTTGTGCAAACTCATTGTTGGCGGGTTTTTCAAAACCGTTTCATTATTATATCGTTATTTGATCTTACGTGAATAGAGTTTTTTTGTATAAAAGAAACTTAAAATTTACGGTATTACTTACAATATTTACTATCAAAAATTTAATCAAGATTTAACGTTTTGCCTTTATAATATTATTCAAGACTAGTAACTTTACATGCTCCATACAAAATAAAGGCGTGCAATTTTCGTGCATTGCACGGGACCAGCACTAGTTACAAAAAAAATGAATGAGGTTTTCCATTCCAAATAAAGGGCCAAATTGATTCACAATATGTATTGTTCCAGCAACTGCAATTGAATTATTTGTGACATACATTAATTTAATCTGTTTATAATTCATGTTGGAGGATCGCGCTATTTCTGTGCTTATGCAACAATCAATAAATTATGCTCGATTAATTTCATATTGACTTTATAATTTTCATCCGGTAATGTAATAATTTTTGTAAGGATAAACTTTCACATACCACATGGTAAAAAGTTTAGAGCATCATTTATTACTCAACTATATAAAAGAAAACGAAAGAAATGAAAAGCAAGAAAAATAAGTTAAAAACCATTTTCATGAAACATTAAGAAATCGAACATATGAATCAAGAGATGTAAGAATGGAAACAAATGTACTTTTTTTTTTTTGAGCAACGGGAACAATGTACTTCTCTCATGAGAGAATGAGGTTGGAAACTTCCAAAAGGACATTTGGGTCATTTTGCACAAGGAGGCTATTCATGTCATTTCAGAGTCATCGGACCTTATCTACACTTAAATAAATTATTGTCTCTTTGTTAACAAATCACAGTCCACGGTCCCATCCAACGGTTACATGCATGCATTGATGCTAATATGAAGTTATTAGTGCGTGTTAGCACGCATGAGTCTGCATTGCCACTTCACTTACGTTACACCACTTTTCTGTGCATGAATTTGTGATCAAATAATGGTTTTTTTTTTTTTATTTTATTGTTTATGTATCGCGATATGTAAGATATATTAACATAATAAAAAAATAGAAGAATGAAAAATTAGAAAAATAAAAAATTAGAGGAATAAATAAAGAAAACATCGTGTTTGCTAAAGATAGAAAATAAGAAGAATGAAAAAGTTAATGGATTAATTTTTCTTTTAACTCACCAAAATTAATCCTTTTAAAATCGAAAAGAAAGTTGATAGAAAGTTAAAAATACAATGATAAAAGATGTATATATACACATACATCTTTTATCATTGTATTTTTATATGAAATTTGGGGTATTCTCAAAATATATATATTTTTTTTAAAAAAAAATTTCATTTTAACTAAGGGTGAAAATTTTCTACTCAACACGATAACACGAATTAACTGACACGAATTGTATGATACGAACTTGATTATAACTTGACATAAACTTGAAAATGACTTGACACAAGAACAAAAAATATAAAAGACTCATAATTTTATAACTCAACACGAATCTAACACGACACGACTCGATTGTCACCTCTAATATTAGACCAAAAAAAATTTTAAAAAAAATTGGTCATTTTTATTTTCTATCCAACCAACCAAACACAAAGGAAGGAAATTGTATCTTTTCTACTTTCTATTTTTCCTACCAAACGGAGCATAAAAGGTAACTAGTACTGAAGGTACGATGCAATGTAAGTGAAAAATGATGTATTTGATAAAGGAAATTTAAAGTGAATGGTTTTGAGAGAGCTGTTAGTGATCGTTAAATAAATTTATTTGAGACCGTTTGATTAACTTATTAAAATTTGTCATGTTTTATATTATTTTTGATCTAATGATATAATTTTATTGTATTCATTGAATTGAAATCAAGTTCTAATATTTAATGAGACTCACAATCAATTTAATAATTGTAATAAATTAGGTCAATAGATTAAGTCTCAAGAACTTTGCTCATTTGCAAAACATAGCTCAAATCATATTTTCATGTAAACAATGACAAATTAAAAAATAAGTTATTAATCATGGTACAGATACAATAAAATAAAAGAATACCATAATTTAATAATTTGTTGATATATATCGGTAGATTATTATAAACTATTATGACTCTCCCGAACTTAGATATTGATCATCGTTGTCCAAGTAGATTTATAATACATCTCATGAGAAATAAAGACGATTGATCATTAACGATATAAAAAGTGTTGAATATGAAATATCTTAAGATGTCACACTCGATCACTAAACTATTTCTAAGAATTATGGGAGAGCTTTATTAATTTGGTAATTCTAATAGTTGATTCTTCCATTTTGGAGGTTTACTGCCAAACTTTGGCATCTTTTAGGAGCTTGAGTTTGTCTGATCAACAATGAAACGGCTGGTTGTTCTGATTGTGAAAAACAAACAAAAAGCCTTTAATTTTTTTTTTCAGATCAAATGACGAATGGTGAACATGCAGTAGGAAATTACCAAATTCGGATTAGGTCAGGTTACTGAGATAATAATATTCTATTTCTGGTTTATCTGTAAAGTAAGTAACGTCTGCTTTATGGGTGTTTGGCTTTATTAGCTGGGGGCTTTTGTTTTGCTGGGAAAGGGTTTCAAATATCTAGAATTATGTATTGGACCCGAATTTTAACAAAATTATACATAAATTTCATCTCAAATTAATTATGTAGTTCTATTTATATGCAAATTCAGAACTATTATCGGATCGAATTTGTGTATCTAAATCTGATTTGATTAAATGTGATATATTGGATTTTGGGTAATAATTTGTCAAATTAATACTAATTCATATATAATTAATTGAATTTTTGATTAAGAAAACAAGAAGGGGTATTCGAATTTGTCTAGGGGGTTGTGTCCATTATTGCCATAAATAAATGAGCATTAAAATGTCTAATGGGGCTGGGGGTTTTATAACCTACCCTAAAATGAACTGTATTCCTTTCAATGAATGAGTAATCGGACTTTTGCGAACAAGCATTAATTAAAAAGTTGTTTGGACAATAAATGTGGCTGCGAGGGTTTTTGGTTTTACAATATGCTCAATTGACTTAAAAATTTGACACTATTATTGAATAGGTAATGGGTGTCAATAAATACTAAAATTCATAATTAAATTGAGGATAAATATAACAGTTATATCATTAAATTAAATTTTTAAGTCAATTATGTCATTAAATTTATGTAACATTGCTCTTTGATTTTTTAAATCTATGATGATGCCATGTGCAAGAATTGTTTGAGAGGGAGGGTCTCTTGAATCAGTACCATTTACTAAATGTGATAGATTCATAAAGACATCACATGAGAATAGATGAACCAAAGAAACCCGTGAGGGGCTTTAGTTTCTTTAAGGGGGTGCCTTGTTTTAATTCTGCATGCCAGTGGATTGACTTTGACTAAAGAAGGGAGGAAGGAAGGAAGAAGGAACTTAAAAACAGAACAAAAAATGGGCCTTAGGAGATGTCTCAAGAGGGTGGCCATGAAAGAGACAGATAATGGTCCAATAAAACTATTAATTATTGTTCTCTG